ATATTTTTAGATAATTATTGATAAAGTTCGTAAATTCAACTTCATGTCATAAATAAAATACAGTAGGATTTCATTTTATATAGAGTCAGAGCTGTCAAGAGGGTTCGAGATAGAGAGGGCCCTTTTGTTCCTTATCAGGATCGCTTTTCGGTGGCGTAGCGAGGGGGTGCAACGGGGTGTATCATGCACCGGGCACCACGCGCAGAGGGGTGCCCAAATGGTCTCCAAGACAAACTTTATGTGTTTATGGGGGGGAGAGGGGTGTTAAATAAAGTGCCGTGCCCCGGGCGCCAGTTATGTTTGCTATGCCACTGCCGCTTTTGTTATTTTTTTTAAGTAAATGAAATATATAGAATATTTCTTTATTGACCCACTCCCAGTGTCATTAAATCTGACTCTTGTTAGCAAACTACACTTTGTCAGTTTCTAGCAATCCAAATACAAAAACTACTGAGTGATATTTTAGTTTTCACGTACAGTAAAACTTCTCTAACTCGAAGCTTCAATAGGCAGGAAAAACTTTGATTTACAGACATTTCAAGTTAGAGAACAATAGAGTAAAAAATGCCAATTCTGAGTAGATTTGTATTTTTACCTCTCTTGTATTATATGAAGAATCTTTGATAGTATTTTTTTGTTTATTTGTTTTAAACAGCCCATGTAACACCTTTCAGAAAAATGTTCAATGTAACTAATGGAATCGAATAGTTTCGCAGGTACGTTTTGTTGAGATAAGGCAAGAGGACCTCTCACTTTGGACTGGTATATTGTCTGAAAATTGGTATTGGAGAATAGATACAACTAACTAACTGTCTGAAAATTTCATGAAAATCTGATTAATTTGATGAAAATTAGAATCAATTTGGGTAAAAAAATATTAAAGTTCAAGTTGGGGAAGTTGAAATTAACATAAATTGGTATTGGGGACCACAAAAAACTTCAACTTGGAGAAAATTTGAGTTAAGAAATTTAATTTGGAGATGTTAAATCCATATGATATTCCATTGAGACCTATCAAGTGCTTTGTTTTCTTTGAGTTAGAGAAGTTTTATTGTGTTTTTCTCACGTAGCATTTTTAATATGTGTAATAAAATTTTGCTCCATATATTCAGAAATATTTTAAGTATATTTGAATGTTTTTCTCTTGTGTAACTGTCACATGCCATTTTTTTTTTTAATATAAATATACAGTCGACCCCCCTATAACACGGTAGATACGTTCCGGTTTTTATGAATCCATTTTCTACGAGTCCAGTCAATCACAGCCCGGCACGTATGCAGTTTACGGACTACGGCTGTTTGAAAGGTTTCTTCCATAAAATTAATCGATTCTAGACTAATTCGACTCAACATTTCCAAAATGCGTATAATTTTTTGGGAATAATCCATATAAACTATGCTATAAACAAAAAATTNTCGAATGGTGCTTGCGTGCTTCCTGATAAATTATTTTTTTTTGTGAAAAATTTGCTGAACTTTGGAGACATAATTAATATGAATATAATTTTTATGGACATTAAATAATAAATGGTTTTTAGTAGGTCCACTGCTCGTTTAAACTCGACGGTTTGTACAGTATCTGCTATTGGTCTAAATTCGACCAATCCTGTCGCAACACGAGTCGGCGATGACGTTTTACCGAATTATACGAGTTTTTTTTAGCATGTTTGTACGAATACTGTCGCAATTTTTTTGCCGTGATATAGGAATCTGAACTATAAGAACCCATATTATAGGGGGATCGACTGTATTTTAGTTATAATTTGTACTTACTAGAAAACTTCTCTGTCTTGCTGGCTTATTGCCTAAAGGAATAATAAACACAGTAGAAGCAGAAGTAGAGAGAGAGATATACTGCATATACAGAAAATAAAGCGGGGGTTGTCTAAAGACAGAAAGGCAGGATAAAAATGTTTTTAACATGTCTGCTGCTAACAAACTGTACAAGTATCCGAGTAAGAGGGGTTTTAACTTATTTCTAGGCTTACGATTAACGAAATTTAGCAGAGAATAAGGTAAATGTTTCTCGTTTACGTACCTGGACAGAATGTTTGGTTAAACTGTTTAAGAAGATGAAGTTTTCTATCCTTTTCTAAATATATATTTATTTAATGTTAATTTTTTAATGATTTGTTTTATTTATCAACATATAACTGAACTTTATATGAATAGTCTTTTTTTTTTATTCCAAAATGTTTATTTTATATGATTAATTTTATTTTTAGTAATCTGTAAATACAAAAGAAAATCAGTTTGAATTAAGTACAGGGTATTTACAAAGTCTGTAAAACATCACAAACAGCTGTATTTTCATAAGAAGACATAGATATGCACTCAAATATTCACAAAATGAAAGATGTCCTCACCAAATTGTTTTCACATCTTACAAATGTTCCCTTTGGCCACACAGCAAATATATCTATCCTATAAATATAAACATCTGAAAACCCAATTGTTTAATTAAAGTCAAATGATTACCATATTATATTGAGCTATATTAATGCTACTATTAATAATTAAATGTTAAGTAATTTGGCCTAGAGGTAGGCATTAGATGCCATCTCTTGATAAATACAATACCCTTTCATTAATACAGTAATTGTTTGGCTTTAACATCCATCCTATACTCCATTTCACTCATACCTGATCTAGCATATACTGTTATTGTGGCAGTTATGATATGGTATCGCAGATCCTGAAGTTCCCGTAGTAGGGGTGGCATGTACACGTTTTTCTTCATATAACCCCACAAGATGTTGCTTGGAGTCAGGCATGATGATCTGGGTAGCTTGATCTTGGTCTTGTGCCAAAACACAACCAATCCAACAATGCAACAATTCCTTGTTCAGATATGCATGAACATCACTGTGGAAATGTGCTGAGGTACTGTCTATTGCATCACAGTTAACATTGCCACATCCTTGTTATGATGGGTTGGGTATAGAGTGAAATGGACTATAGGATAGGTAATTAAAGATGGACTTATTTGAACATTTGTAAGACATAAAAACATAATTTTGTGAGTACCTCTTTTATTTTGTGAGCATTTGAACACATATCTATGTCTCCTTGTGAAAATACAATTTTGTAATGTTTCGTGGACTTTGTGAACACCATGTATATGAAGATCCTCCTTAACATATATATCATTTAAAATAATTTCAAAGCATAAGTAATGTAAATATCTGATAAAAATCTTGTTCAATACTTATATTCAACAGATGCAATTTTTTTTTTAAATTAGACTTTCTGCGGGTCTTTTGAGACAGGCATCTTATACAACTGTACGTATGGGTGTTTACACAACACTATTTGAAAAAATCAGGTAAATCCTAACATGAGCCTATTTTTAATTAGATATTTTGTTTTACTAAAAAATATAAATATTTTGTAATTCAGTTCAGATGGCAAACCACCAAACTTTTTTGCAAAAGCAGGTATAGGAATGGCTGCTGGTGCAGTAGGAGCATTTTTCGGTACTCCAGCCGAAGTATCTCTTATTAGAATGACGTCAGATGGCAGGTAAGATAAAAAAAAAATCCATAACTTTGTTGAGAGATAGGTGAAAAATCTTATGTAAAAATCAAATTTTACTGTTTAGATTGCCACCAGCAGAGAGACGAGGTTACAAAAATGTCTTTGATGCTTTATTCAGAATTACAAAGGAAGAGGGAGTATTAACTCTATGGAGGGTAAATTCGTCAAATTTCTTAATTTA